AGAATACAGACACCCTGGACCTTGGGCTAAACAATTCGGTAAGAGGCACTTCCCCTGCCCATTCCCCAAACTCCAAACGAGACATTCAAAAGCGTTCAGTAGCCAGTACAAGCCTGCAGCCGTCGTTTCTGCTTGCGGAGCTCCGTCTGCGCCTTTCTGGTGTAGGGGTTTGTGGGCGACATATTGAAGGACAAAGACCGTTTCGGCTTGGCTGGACCGGCTTGTACAAGGTGCTCCCCCAGTGCTGCACTCAATCTGCATAGACCGGTAACTACAAGAATGCCCTGAACCAGTAAAAGGCCAACCTTTTCAATTATGGTAGGATCAAATAAACCCCCAAGAGGCTAAAGGCTACCTACTCAGCTACGTAGCCTTAACAAGTGGACCCGAATCCTGTGAGGTCTCTTGAACCCTGCGAGCCCTTTCAGGTGCCGAGGTCACGGCGGTGTCGAGCTCATCTTCGGCAGTGAGGTGCTCCTTCGCGGGCTTTAGGGTTAAGGGTACGTACAAGCCACCCCTACATTGCAATTAAGGTCGTGTGGCTGGACGTCAAAGCAGAGCATTATAAGGAGTGAGGCCCGGGGCTTGCGAGTCTTTCTATGGGGTCTGGGATCAGCGTGTTGAGCCCTTTCTTTCTCGCTCAGGAGGGCGTGGAGCTTAGGCTTGCAACTGGGCGATTAGTGGGTTTATCCCGACACTGACGCCCCCAAGCCAGAAACCCCACAACTTTGAAAACCTTTATAGTTAGCTCTTCAGTAATTCTTATAAACCTTTGTCTCCCGCAACACCAAAACCCCAACCGGCTCTATGCAGTGAATCAGGGGCGTCTCCCGCTCGAGCTGCAGCAACTTTTGCCGCCTTGGAAGCAAGCGAAAAGCGAAAATAGAGAACGGGTGATAGAGGCTGCATAGTATAAGTATGACTTACAGGGTTACTGGAAGTGCTGCTGACAGGTTATAAGTTATAAGAGTTGCGCTGTACTACAAGAGTTCTACTGGGTGTAGTGCTTCAGGAATTACGGTCTGGGGGTTTAGGGTTTTCGCTTGAGGTCGGGGCTTCAAGGCTTGGGCATTGGGGGGTCGGGTTTGGGTGTGTTAGGGTATCCGCGCTTTAGGGTTTCGGGGTGTAGGGTTTAAGGTCCTTTGGGTTTTGGGTTCTGAGGTGGTGCATGGTTTCAGGGGGAATATGTATCAGGGATATGTGTGTACTGTGTGCAGTATATGGCACATTCACGTTGCATACTCGTAGGTGATGAAACACCAAGAGCAATGATGCTTGCTGACAGCAGGAGTGGTGTACATACATACTGTACATGCATATATACAATGAGCACAAACGCATGCATGCTTTGTCGTGCTGGTGCTGCTGGTGGTGGTGGCGGAGGCGGTGGCGGTGGTGCTGGCGGCGGCTGCGGTTGCGGTGCACGTAATAGTAGTGGTGGTAGCAGTAGAAGTAGTAGCAGCGGCAGCAGTAGTAGTAGTAGTAGTAGTAGTAGTAGTAGTAGCAGTAGCAGTAGCAGTAGCAGTAGCACTAGCTGGATGAAGCGGAGGAGCAGCAGGAGGAGTGGGATTGGGAGTAGAATAAGACGAAAAGGACCAGGAACAAGATAGGGTTAGTGGCAGCAGTAGTCGGCGTACACAAAGGTAGCCTTGACACCTTCGAGAATAAGACCTTTTAGCAAGCTCTTTTCGCCTTTGTGCCCCATTGAACGCTTAGACTCACGTTTGTGCTAAACCCTACTCCCGTATACTAACAGTTAACACGTGAGTAACCCGTCCAGTATAATGCTTTTAGCACTCTCTGGGTGCACGACATCTCCACAGCCGTGCGAAGCTCGGCCCGCCGCGTCTCGCAGATGGGCTTTGTTTTAGGGCTTTGAGGTTTGCGGGTACAGGGTTTATACTGGCTAGGGTTTACGATGAGAGTCTTTTCAAAATCGAACAACCCGACGAACGTTTGCTTGGTCTGTCTCTCTCGATCTCTCTTCCATCTTTCTCTCTTTCCCCTGCTACAGCACAAAATTAGCCGGAGCTGGCTTAGGGTGGGAACCGCACTCATGTGCCCAGGCGAGGCCCCATTAGCTTCAAGCGTCCTGCAGCACCGAAACAAGCAGCTTCTACGTCGTTCACCCAGCCGGCAATACAATTTGTCGATGATCATTCGCAAATATACCGTGAACCCAGCCACTGAACATGCCTACACCCTAAACCCTAGACATCACCAGACAATCCCTAAACCGCGCACCCTAAATATCACCAAAGATCCCGGAAACGTGAACCCTAAACCCTAAACCCGAAGCCCTCGTGAAGGCCCCTCTTCACTGCTGCTGTTGCACCTCAAGTAGCTGGAGGCTCCTGGCACCCGAGAGAGCTTGAAGGGCTTACCCTTTAGGGCTTAAGGTTCAGGGTTAAGGGATCAAGTGGGGAGTTTCGGGGGTTTAGGGTTTATAGGGTTTAGGGTTTAGGGTTTAGGGTTTAGGGTTTAGGGGTTTAGGGTTTAGGGTTTAGGGGTTTAGGGTTTAGGGTTTAGGGTTTAGGGTTTAGAGTTTATAGGGTTTAAGGCTTTGGGGTTGAGGGTGTAAGGTTTGCGGTTTAGGGTTTACAGCTTAAGGTTTGGGGGGTTTGAGGTTTTCGCGATTGCAACGACGTTGATTCCTGAATTCCTGCAAGCTACAGTTACAACCCCACACATAGTCGCAAACAACATCTAAGTAAATTATAGTAGTAGCCTTATAGATCCCTTATAGAAACCCTTATAGGGCCCCTTTTAAGGGAAGCCTTAAAGGAATGTCTGGTCAGCCAGGGTCGGGTCAAATCGGATGAATTCGGACAGTCGCTCCCGATCCATTGGCCCGGCTAAGGGTTTTAGAGGTTTTAGGGTTTAGGGCTTTAGGGTTTTAGGGTTTAGGGTTTTAGGGTTTTAGGGTTTAGGGTTTAGGGTGTCTCGCCGCGCAGCGGCAGTATTTTCTATGTAGGATGCGCCCCAACACTCCCAAGGGTGTGGGGGGGCGGCATATCTACGTTTAGCATTAAACTGTGATTTCACCACCAAACAATTACAAATTGGCTTTGTTTCTTTTCCCACTCGCTGTGAGCTTACACAAGCTACCACCCAAAATATTACCTTTTAGGGTTTAGGGCTTACCGCCCTCAATTCCCACCTCTGCCTTGAGGACGCATGAACTTCTTCGGGCACCCTGAGGAACACTGTCACGAAGCATTCAGGCCCCTATGCCACAAATTCTAAACCTTACACCCTAAACCCTGATCCCTAAATCCTACAACCTAACCAATCTACAAACCCTGAACCTTAAACCCGAATCCCTAATCCCTGAACCCTACACCCTAAACCCAAAACCCTAAACCCCTAAACCCCAAATTCCCTCCACAAGCCCCCCCTTTGTGCTCTTAGCCAGGAGACGGGACCAAGGCGCTCGTCCTCGGAAGGGATTCTTGGGCTAATGTAGGGGACTTACAAGTTCGAACAGGCTTTCCTTAAGGTTAAGGGTGTTCTTTAAGAGGTTGCTGCAAGGATGTGAAAATAAGTAGTGCAGAACCCCAGAGCCAGAATGCAGGGGCCTTAAGATGGGGTTCGTGGTATATGACAGCTTTTTGGCAAGGCTATCTCAGGAAATTGCTAACTATTCATACCAATATGTTATGGGGCGGTTCTCCGCATTGCCTTGTTTGCCCGATGATGGCTGAAGCCTGAAGAGGAAGCCCTACAGAAACAGACTCAGCCCTTCATTCAGGTCCCAGCACCCAAAGCCCTAAAGCTTTCCATGGAATAAAACTTTCCATGGAAAGAGCCCTCGACTGTCCTACGCAGAGCCCTCCACTTGAAAGCCCTCTTCCTAGCCGTGGCTGTGGATGGAGGATCCCAGTCGGGGATTGCAGACTGAAAGCCCTAGGCAATTTTCTTCATGCACACATTACCTACAAGTAGTTTCCATTGCAGTTCCTGTTTTGGTATAACCAATGATATATTTAGGATCTTATTTTTGGGTGTAGCGAACTCTTATTTGGGATCCGTTCCGGTAACTCAAGACGGCCGCATGGTAGGGTTTCGAGTTTAGGTTTAGGGGCGTATATATGTATGTGTATACATATATTACAGTAGGTGTATGTGTGTATATATATATATATATATGTATCTATCTATGTGCACACACACATCGGTTCTATAAGGGCGTGGGGCTTAGAGTTTAGGGTTTTAGCTGAAACCCGAAGTCCTAAAGCTGGCATCGGGGAAACAGGAGGCTTCCACGAGTCTGAGCGCCTGGCCACGCTACCAGCCTGAGAAAAAGTGTGCAAACTTGTCGGCGATTTTGCAAGCTAAACCCTAAACCTTAAACCCCAAGGTATACCATGCGTATGTAAGCTTCAGCATGTAATGTAGTCTCTTCTAACTTACATAGTCCGCCAGCATGATCTTCACTTCACAGGTAGTTTACCGGTAGAGTGCTCAACCAGATGCGCTTGGGCGGGCACCTTTTCACCACTCCTTGGAGCACCACAGAATCCTCGGAGTGCTTTCCAGCACCCTGTACAAGTTAGCACATGCCTACAATTTCTGTTGGAATGCAAGTTTACAAGACTTCGTCATTACAACTCATCCTCCGAGTCCTCCCCTCGTAGGAAGTAAGCCCATCCCTTCCACTCGCCAGTGAAAGAAAAGTACTCATCCGGCCGGGTTGGGATGTAGGCACACAGGCCCTCACCCTGTTGGACCCAGTCTTCCCAGTCAGATTGGGAGGACCAGTTTCCATTGGTTTGAGCCCACTTACAACATTCTTCAAAAGGCAAGAACCTGGAGCTTTGACAGCGCACTTGTCTGTCAAGCAACCTCCCGTACAAAATTGCATAATCTGACCCGCTGAGCTTGCACAAATCAGCACCATTTGGGGCCTTCAACTGCAACACCTCCCGGGAAGGATCGGGACAAGTGTTGAGTGTCACTCCCGCCCCAGTTGGTGTTGCAAAGTTCCGGGACTCGGCCCCTCAGTACGCATAGTCCTTCACGTACATGCCCTCTGCTGCAGTCGCATCCTCATCGGCAGTGGCAGGGTCGTATTCTCCCAGCTGAGCTTTAGAGTTCGCCATGGCTCGGATGAGCAGCTTCGCTTGCGCTGCCACCACGTTCTCGTCCTTCCCAGCGTAGGTTTTGAGGGTGGTGTTCTGTAGTGCACGGGCATAAGAGAACGAAACATGCCAAGGGTTGGTTCCCTGGTTCATGGCGTTGAGGTTCAAGGTCGCCTCAATCTCGGACTGGCCACCGGACAAGAACATGATTCCTGGCACGGCTGGAGGCACCACACGCTTCAAGGATTCCAAGGTCTGCGATGCAACGGTCGCAGGGTCGGCACTCTGACCAGACTGGGCTCCAGGTGTTACCATCGACGGCTTCAAGAGCACAGCTTCCAGCTGGACGCCGAAATCGGCACAGGCCTTGAAAACCTCGCTCCACGTTTCTTCGAAGGTCTCTTTGCACTCCTCGATGCTGTGCTCGCCATCCAGCAAGATCTCGGGCTCAATGATCGGAACCAACCCCGACGACTGGCAGATGTTCGCATAGCGGGCCAAGCCATGGGCAGCCTCCACGACGGCAAGCTTGGAGTGGTCCCTGACGCGCACTGTCGTGCGCCACTTCGCGAACCTGGCACCTGCTTTGTAATAGTCCTGAGTCCGCTCCTTCAGGTCATCCAACCCTCGACACCACTTCTCTCCATCCTTGCCACCCACGAGATCAACGAGGCCGGTGTCAACCTTGATTCCAGGAATGATCCCATTCTCCTTGGCCAGCTCGACCATGAGCTTTCCATCCGTCGTCTTCTGGTACAGAGTTTCCGTGAAGAGGATGGCCCCTCCGCAATACTTGCCAAGGTCCTTCGTGCCAAGCAAAAGCTGCCGCCACTTCTGTCGGTTTGGTTCTGTGTTCTCAACGCCGACAGACTCCAAACGCAAGCCGCAGGTGCCGTTGGACTCGTCCATGGCCAGGAGTCCCTTTCCTGGCTGCGTGAGAGCTGTGACCGTTTCGAGTAGCTCATCCTTGTACTGCTCGCAATGGGCCCATCCGTCATAGGGGCTCGGCTGCGCTTGCATTTGCACGAGAGCTTTCGCCCTCTTCCCCTTTGTTGCTCGCCGCTCTGCCATGCAAATGGCCAAGCCACCAATGCCAGCCGCCATCCCCAAGCAAGTTGCAGCGTTTGGCGAGGCACATGTCTGCGTGCGAGGCCCGCTCTCTGCCACGACTTCCGCCGCCAGCTGAGGAGATCTGGCAGGGGGAGCCCGAGGTTGTGCGGGAGCGATGAACGCCTGACCTGCCACGCAAGCTCCCACGGTGAGCGCAATGCCCGACATCTTGCTGCCCACAACCATGGCACCAAAGCACGGAGAGATGCAAAATGCAGCGAGCGAGGTCGACCAGAGCAAAATGCTACTGTCAAACCGGCACATAGTACTGCACAGCTCTATTCCATGGTGACGTTTTTGGTGCCACAGACCGAACCTTGATTCCTTCCTGGTCGTCAGCGTGAAACAAGTTACGTACGCATCGTACAAAACCGTTGCCGATTGCCTTCGACAACTTCATCCTCGTTTCTGCAACATCCCCCAAAGTACGAGCAGTATGTCCAACAGATATCATAAACTGACACTGCAAGCAGGTGGAACACTCACACGCAAGGATAGGACATGGTCCGAAGAGACAGACAACGACTTCGTTGGGATCCCGGCTGGTTGGCCACTTCGGTGAAACGCTGCGCGGCCTCTCAGGTGGGTTTTGCAACTTTTGCATTCCAATAGACGGGTTTGCTCTAAAACGGGGTTGAGAGTTTAGGAACCCTCAACTCTACATCCTTAAACCTAAAGCCCTAAATCGACGGCAATGACTGTAATTAGAAGTGAAGCTCTGGTCTTTTGTCTGGTTGCTGAGTTCGCACTGAAACCCCTAAACCCTGAACCCTAAAATAGTCAAACCTTAAAACCCGCAACCCCGAAACCCCCAAACCCAAGAACACTCTAACCCCCCTTCTCTCCCTCCCTCCCTCCCTCTAATTATCAAGACCTATCCCTTTTAGTATCCCTTAAAGGGACCCGTATTCTAATTATTAAGGCCCCTCCCTCCCGCTGCGCCTGTCCGAAAGCTTGCTCATGCCTGCGCACCTGGCCGAGATAGGGCTCCAGGGGGGTTTAGGGTTTAGGGTTTAGGGTTGTTTAAAGCTCCTTTTTGAGTTAGGGTTTAGGGTTTAGGGTGAAACCCAATTCTAGGATCCTAACCAAAAAATTTGCTAACCAAAATACGGAACTACAATGGAGACAAAAGGTAACCCAAAGGCTCCATGTACCCATTTAGTGGGTACTTAGGCGTTAAAGGGGTCCCTATACAGGCACTTCATTGTACTTACTATATGGGCACATGGAATCTTAAAGGGAACTCCAGAAAGTTGGAATATGGTTTCAGGGTAGGATACCTCATAATTTACCATAAAGGGCTTAGGATAATCATATTCCAACTTTCTGGCCTTTACCCTAAACCCTAAACCCATGGAGTTTTGGGGGTAAGGGGTTGAGAGCATTCTGGGCGCAGCCCTTACCAGGTCGACTCGCAGTCGAGAGCCGTCATACGAAGTTAGTATAGTAATCCTAAACCCAGGCTTCCTTAAAGGGTTCCATAAAGGGCTCCTTAAAGGGCTCTGTAAGAGATCTATAGCAATCCCCATAAAAGTTGGAAACCGGATTAAGGCCAAATTGTGCTGGGATTCCCTCTACGTGACACTTAAGGATTGAGGCTATCGGGTTTCCAACTTTTTGGCTTTTACTGTAGAAGTGAAGCGGCTCGAAGATTCGAAGTTGACTACGTGCAACTAACATTTCGAACTTCAGAAACCAAGATCGTCGTTGCATAATAGTTGTGAAACTAGCGCAACATATTTCGCAACAAACACTATACATGTATCCCAGCATCGAAGCCTACTACATCTAGCTCGGAGGCATTTTGCGCTTTACCTTCTGGGATCAAAGCTTTGAGGCTTTTAGGAGTTTCGCGTTTGGAATTCAGACTTCAAGATACAGGTATAGTATACTATATATGCTACTATGATATACTAACTGAATAACCTACCCTTTTAGGGTTCCTTATTATAACTTCCTTATATAAGTCCTAAAAACGGTAGGTTATTCCGGGTGCAGGTAGGGTTTAGGGTTGGGATTCCGGTTGCTGGACTTCAAACAGGTTTCCGCTGCCTGACCGCGCGACCATAATCTATAAAACCTGAATGGATAAAAATTGGGGTATGCTATCTAGGATACCCAGTAACCTAAGGATATAAAGGCCTCTCTTTTTGGTATTGGGTAACTTTATAGGGAACCGAGGACTACAAAAAGGGAATAAGGGTACTACTGGGCATCCTAGTATACTACCACCAGCACTGCGACTTTCACTGCGACAAGGACTACGACTACGACTGCAACTACCACTACCAGTACCACTGCATTGCCATCTGGGCTGACTTCTGAACCCCTCCTAAAAGTTAAACATTTAGCCTCCTCATATATAGGAACCCAACAACTTAAAGTCCTAAGAGCCAACCAGAAGAACGTCAAGCTATAACTACAACAATAACCAGGGACCCGGAGGATAGTATCGGCAAGTATTTAGGCTACATATCAGACTTTGAAGAAAACATCCCATGGGCAAACTCCAACTCAACCAACTCAAGTCAAAGCAGTATACTCATCATCATATCTAGTATACGAAAACGACACCACGACGCGAGGACCACGATGCCGACTACCAACAGCAACGAGAACGACAAGCGCTGCATTCACGGCAACCAGTGCTATGTGTCAGAAGGTACGACGACGACCAGGATTATGTCCTTGCTCTGGTCTTGCTTCTCATACTCAAAGACGGGAATCGATCATATACAACTATAGTACTCCAAACCCCTATTGAACTATTGCCCTGAGCCCAAGGCACTACATTCCTGCCATGTTGCGAACCCAAACACTATAAACCCTGAATTTAAACCCTACTAAACCTCCTAACCCTACATAAACCCCGAAACCCCGAACCCCTAAAACCCCCAGGCCCCTAAACTCCCGAAACCCTCGTTGCCCCCAAGTCGGCGGCCTTTCTTTGCACCTGCAATTCAGCAGAGCCCAGGCTCGGGGAGTTTTAGGGTTTTAGGGTTTAAGGGTTTAGGGTTTAGGGTTTAGGGTTTAAGGGATTAGGGTTTAAGGGATTAGGGTTTAGGGTTTAAGGGTTAGGGTTTAAGGGTTTAGGGTTTAGGGGTTTAGGGTTAAGGGTTTAGGGTTAAGGTCTTTAGGGTTTAAGGTTTAAGGGTTAAGGGTTAAGGGTTTGGGGTTTAGGGGTTTAGGGTTTACCTATAGCCTCCATTGTAGTTCCTTTTTTGTTAACCAAAAACTCTATTATAGGATCCTTGCCATAAAGTTGGTTAACCAAAAAATGAACTACAATCGAGACAATAGGTAGGGTTTAGGGGAGTATAAGGCTTCTGAAGAAACTCTCTGAGAACGTACGGGAAAGCGAGTCCGGAAGTAGAGTAAGTAACGCCAGAAACGGCTAGGCACGGAAGCCCGGCAAATCGCACGGAACCTGAGTTCAGACTCACGGAGCTGCGATTTGGAGCTTGTCCAAGATTCTAGGCTCTAGATCTAACTACTTGTTCGTCCTAATTAACAAGACCTAAGAGTAACCTAGGAACAAAAAGGGTGCCCTTTTCGGTTTAAAGGTGGTTATAAGGGAACCTAAACCCAAAAAAAGGGAACAAGGGCCTACTCTGGGTCCTAGTTAAGGATGATCCTGGACAAACTCCAATAGCTGCCGCCCAGTGGGGTCTTGAGATGCACCCAGCAAAAAAGGCCCAGACTGTCCGGGTTTCGTTCTTTGCGGTTTATGGTTTAGGGTGGTCGGGAGTCGGGAGCTTCTGGCTTTCGGAACGTCCGAAACGAGTTGTGCACTAACTGCTCTTCATTGTTTGTAATTGTTGCTTCTGTGCTGTTACTGTCTATTGTCTTCTGTGGTGAGTTTTCTTGACATAGCGAAAGTCTCAGATTGCCTTGGAAGTGACGAATTACGTTTGGTTGCAGGGGAAAAGCTCGGCACGACCCGCAGCTCACCTGCACCATAGCCTGACCACTCAATATTCAGGACGAGCAAGGCTCCATTACAGGCAATGCCAGGCACGTAACATGTCGGAGAGCCCCTATAAGCCTCTTGGAGGATAAGGGGGCCTAGTAAGCCAGATGATAAGTACAGCAATTGGGGTCATAAGTAGATGCACCGACAGTTCTAACATACTTGTAACGGCTACACAGTCCCCTGACCCATGATAGGTCCCTAAACCCCACAACAAAAACCGAAAATCACCCAACCAACTAAAAGGAACCCCCACGTGAAACCTTCAAGGAAACCTTCTATAATCCAACCAACCCTTAAAGGAACCCTGAAATGAAACCTTCAAGGAACCCTTAATCGAACCCTTAAAGGAATCCCCAGGAGAGCCCTCGATCGCCCCCAAAATCCTCAAAGTATGCTCTGCCTCCATGAGCGCCATTCGACTGGAGCTGGCTTTCGTTCCCAGGGCCTCGGGGCATACTGTATTGCTGTTAGGGTTTAGGGTTTAGGGGTTTGGGGTTTAGGGTTTAGTCTTGCTGTTATGTTGCTATATGCTACGATTGTATTACTATCATACGATTAGTGTACCGCTTATAGTACTAGAATGTTACGACTACTTTGCAAGGTCTTGGAGCCCAGGTGCTAGGGACTAGGGCTGTAGATTACACAAGTTTCACGTTCAGGCCTTTCAAGCTCTGCCCGAGCGCGCCTCATAGTCCTCCAGCGCCTGAGACCAACACTCCTGGCTGAGAGTCTTCAGCAAACAAGGGAGCCCAGGCAAATAGACCCCAGATTGTCTACTAGATTGCAGTATCCTTGTTGCTCCGCTGCCTGCACAAGTCACGGCATTCGCACGCGCGTGGCTATTATTGCTCTCCTTGCTACCCCAGAGGGTCCATATACACTACTATTATGGAATTAGGTCCCCAAAACCATAATGGGCATGGTCTTTCAGGGCCTAATTCCATAATGGTAGTGTATATGGACCCTCTGGGTACCATTATTATTGCTACCACCCACGTGCTCAATTCCTACAGAACCTCATGGCTCGGTCAACGGACGCCGTCCTTCGGAGAAGGTCCCCAAACCCTCTGAAACCCCATACCCTGCTCTTATGGATCCCTTTAAGGAGCCCTTCTAGATCCCTGAAAAAGGAGCCCCAAACTCCCAACCCCCCCAAACCCTGTTCCGTCCTTCTGATTCTGGAGAAGGTCCCCAGCGACTTGTTGGACGCGAT